ATAATAACCGTGGCAGTTCTCTCGCGGTGGTTTGTTTCGTGCTCGTGCTCTTTGTTACCATCCGATCCTAAAATAACAAACGATCGTTAACGCGCCGATAATTTCTTCGCAGGGAAACACCGATCCAAAACAACAATTTTTTTTTTCGGTTTCGGCATCGCAATTTTTTTTTAAATTCTCAAAAATCATACCTCGTCCCAGTTATCGTACTTCGCTTCGTACAGTCAATCCACGTAGACACGTTCTGTTCGAAGTAAAATTGTTTGTATAGTTGGTCCACGTCCCGAGGCATCATCAAACAATGCAGCCCCCGTTGTTGTTGTTCTGGATTATCCACGAGGGCCTTATAGAATGCGAAAGACAGTAGGACAACATATTAGGGTTGGCGATCCCAGATAATAGACTGTTTATTTTAATAGCGGTGCACGGTTGGTATCCCTGAATGGTTACAGGGGTCCAGAAATAAATTCAATGACGTTCATGATTATCCATTCCTGAGCAAGGATGGTATCACGTGAAAATCATTCTGCGCATGCGCAGTTACATCTCTCCCGTAAAATAATACGAGCTAACCTTTTTGCCATGGTAACGTAACGGCGTCGTCCGTGGACTCGCGTTAACGTTCTTATGGAAGGAAGAGCGAAGGTTCGCGGGGTCCGTTCGAACGTTAATGGCCACAAGAGTGTGCAGCATAAGACCCAAGCATAATGGTGGATCACCGTGACTAAAAGGGCTAATCATGACAAATGCTGCCGTTGCTGGTTCTTCCTCGCATGTTCTCCTTACCACGCGGTCTTTTTCACGACGCCATCTTTGTTTCCCTCACAATTTCGCTGGGACGCGGAACACAGTTGTATCTAATTATAACGAAATATGGTGTAGACAGAATATTATTGTTATTATATTGAAAAATAACTTCGGTTGATTTCGGCTGTCTTCGGTTCTTCTAAAAGCTGATGACGAACCTTTACTCAGATGCCAGAAAGGCTTTTATTTGTTCACGTGCCCTTTTCGAGGTTAGAATTTAGTGCATCTGCTATAGAACACCCTTTTCCACGGAATTTTCGTGAACGGATTCGAGCGTCTGCTTTGTAAAATGGCGGAAGGTATAACGACCAAGGTATAACGATGGAATTTAGTTATCGTTCTTTCCGAACGTCTTGGAGTAATTTATTAATTGGTGAGGACGAACGTCAACTGTCATGTCAGTAAGAAACATATTCCGAGCCTTTTAATAATTTCATAATTACAGGCTTTTCTGCCGATTCATAGCAGCTATCCAGCTGTCCCGTTTTCGAAAACTTCAAACGGGTCTGGATGGATGCGTCGAATATTTCGGACGCCAAATGACGTTCTCATATACTAATTGGTCAACGGGTTGAGATCATGTCCCTAGGGAATCTTGACACGTGGCACCGTTTTAATATGTCTTTTTTTTTTACTGCGTTATAGTCAACAGGCTGATATAAGAAAAAATATATGAAATTTAACGTATCCTGACTGGTGGCGCCGGTAGACGGGAATTTTTGGTACTAATCGTATCTCGATTCTCTTCTCCTTTCTTTCTTCTTACGTATACCTAGGCACAAGGTTGAATATCTTGAAACCCAGTTTTTTTTACACCCCAATGTAACTCTATAACCTAGTACTGTATTCGGGTCGCGGGGCCTTTTGTCAGCCGATGACGTTGTTTCGCTTCGTTATTGGTTGCAAAGTTGCTCTGGATATATTTGGGCCCACAGGGCCCTCACAGTAGCATATGGGCTCATATCGGATTACCAGACGTTTGTCATCATCAGAGCAGTCATTGTTCCTATACGGTTCAAGGGTACCACTCTAGAGATTTCGAAAATGTCGGTCAACTTTTTTTTTTTTGATAGGACAAACAAAACTTACACTGTTAAGAATTTTGCAAAACGAACGAGTATTGGTATGCTTTGATTTTTGAAAATGCCAAACAAAATTTTAATCTGAATTCTTTTATATTTTACTGTACCTACTCTTGCTTGAATGATGAAATTCAAATTTTGTTTCTATTATCATAATTTCAGGGATATAGCAATTGATGAATTTATAAGCAAATTTATCTTGATATTACAGTTTTTTTTTACCAACCGGTTGCGAAACCTCGTTTTGAACGGAGTTAAAGTCGTACAGTAAATTTGAGGTACCTGATCGTAATGCGATCCGCGGATCGCTCTAAATCAAATCGATCATTACGCGTAATCGAGCGGGTAACCGGTTAAAAGCGTTGGTTGGAATGGAGATCGGATGGTCGGGGACCTTTTTTCGGGCCCTTTTTAGGGCCCCCTCTTTACACCGCGCGGTTTACCTGAGCTCCGCCTCCGCCGTAAATGCGGCAGCTGCCGCTCCATTTTACGGAGTTTTGCAGCGAATTAGGATTTTTTTTAACCAAAGAGAATCTGAGCCGCTTTTAACCCCAATTTGGTAACCCATTGATACCAGGGTCGACCTATTGGATGGTAATAGCCTCACGGGGTTACCACGCAATAGATTACAGGTATATATATATACCTGGATTTCTCTATCAAAAATAATTTTTTTTAGACACCACCTTTTCAGATGATTTGAAAATTTCTATGAAATCACAAAAATGATTTCACGCTGTTCATAATTTTTGGGAATTTCAAATAAGGTTTTTAATGAGGCACCAATATCTTTTTTATCTGTAAAACACACGTAAATATGTACTTTGGCGATTTTTTAATTTTTATACAAAAAATTATTTGAAATCGAGTGAAATCGATTTATTAAAAATAACTACGATCGAGAACCAGAAAAGAACTGATTTATTTCTTATTGGACGGAGAGAGGATCGCAAAACCGCAAAACCAATAAATCGTGGTAACCATGAAGAAATGGCTGGTTTATAGAATCGTCGGCTTTAATTTACAACCGGTAGGAGGGTTGGGACCCCCTCAGACCTACCTACCCCGTGTATCGATACATCACAATTGAGATCTCGAAGGAGCCAGATTCGCACGTTACCCGGGAAGCCGTTAGACCTGGTGGAAGATCTAGCGCCATATTTTTCCGGTAATAAATCGCGTGGCATTAGCAAGTCTTGCCATATAGGAAAATTGTTGACAGCTTGACTACCATGCGTTTAACTCACGTGCAATTGCGAAGGATTATTTATACAATAATAGTTAAAGGATTACATATTAGGTATAGGACATAACTTTATCGTGTGAAAAGGATCAAACAATAAAAAATTCTCAATAATAAACGAAGATATTTTTCATTATAAAAAATAAATAACTCCCTAAAGAAATTTGGAAGATGAAGTAGTACCCATTTTTGAAAATAGCGATCGAAGAAAATTTAGTCAAATCCAAAATACTTTCGATGGATGCGACCCATGGGAAAGCGATTTAAAGGAAATTTTTCAAAAAATCTCGGGCAATCCTTCTCCAAGAAAAGTGTGCAAATTTAAAAGGATTTTCGAAAAAGTTCTTCACCCAGTCTTCGTGTGTTTGACGCGTGGCAGAGTTATGCCACGATACATCATTCTCGATCACTGCCAGTGCGCATTGACGAGAAAAATTCACGGTACTTTTTTTTTGACAATGAAAATCCAAAACCCCTTTTTTCCAAATTCAAAAAAAAGGCTGACACTTCGTTACACTTAGTAAACCCTGACCTCGCATTAGTCTCAAGAGAGTTAACCGATAGTTCAGCAAATAGCTGGACACCTAAAGTGAGGTTGGGCTAGGTTAGTCATCCAGGAAAAACTAAAAGCAGCAATTTCCGAAAAAAAAACAAAAAAAAATGTCTATCATTAATATTTCATCAGTCCTCCCTAATCTTCAAGAAAGATCTATAACTACCATTTAACAAATTCAAGTTCGCATAATTTACCCAACAACCGTAGAAACAAGAAGCCCGGGAATTTCAAAATCCCCAAAACGACTCCGACTCCCCAAAGTCACAGGACGATTGATCTCGTCCTCTGGGAGAAGGACTACACCGGTACACAAGATCCCGGATTCTCGTTTCAGTAAAAATATCCTCGATCCCACCTATTCCCAGGACGTGGAATATCTCAGTCAGGATCATCGATCACTGGATCATTGTGCTCTGTGACACAAGCGTGAAGGATGTTTTGGCACAAGCGCCGTAGGCGGGTTTCCAAAGTGAATGGAACACCCGCGACTCGGAGGTGTGACACGTCCAGTGGAAATACTTGCGATTTCCCTCAGGATGACCCGTTATAAATAAAATCCAAGAAACGTCCAAAATTTACAACTTGATCGATTGCAAACAAGCGAATCACGTAGGTACGTACAAAATATCCAAAATAGATCTATATACATATAGAACCAAAAATTATCCAATCCCAACTTGCCAAACGATTCTAGCCAAGACGCTCATTATCATTATCATTATCAGTTGACTGATCAAAGGATGACGTGTCCTATGCACTTTTCCCTGGCACGATGATAAAACCCCCAAGATGAGTCAGACTGTGATTAAGTTAGTTAACGGCAGCATAGAAACGGCTGATCCGACGGACAGGTGGGACCAACCCGCCGTCTTCACAATGGCCGACGCCTTTACAAATCAAAACAATTACTGTCTTCCCGACGTTGGATAATAGACGCCCGAATCGCGTAGAGGCTATCGCCTATTAATTACGACTCCGGCATATTGGATATAGGAGGGACGCTTGACGCCTGGACGCCGCTCTTTAATATCAAGAAGATATTCAACGCTGCTGACTCTAATTTAAAATTTCGATAGCATATACATGTGTATATATATATATTGTATGCATATTGATATATATGAAAGGTGGATATTTTGAAAAAGGATTTACAAAATTTCCATTGATCTTAGCACGGATTTCCAATGATTCTCAGGACTACTTGAGTCTCCCGTCGGGTCTTGACTACCGTTAGAAAAACGTCTGTCTAAGGATTCCGAAAAATTCATTTCTGTTTGACAGGCCCGAGGATATTACCCAAGGTATTATCCTCGGGGACGACAATATTTTTAATTCCGGGCAGAATGTAACAGGATCAGCGTGTCCCGGGTAATGTTATACCGAACGAAGCGTTAATCTACTTTGAGTCGAACTACGAACGGTGCAGGGTTAACTTTTAATCTCCTTAAGTTTCGGCCTCTTGTAATGGACAGCCATTTTGTCTTCGTCGTGAACACAGCCGGTCGCGAGTAATCCTCTTAAATGCAGTCTCGTAGGTATATCTATAAAAATTAAAAAATTTTTTTGTAAATCACCAAAAATTTTTCTGTCATGCACAAAGTGACGGAAATTTAAATTCAGTATAAAAAAAAAAATTTTGAAAATCAAAAATCAGACAAATCGTGGCACGAACTTGCACCGGCATAATGCCTGGTCCACAGACTTTATAGTCACCAAGTTGATAGAAGGCCCCAAAGTGGTTGGGACCGTGTGAAATATGAGGCCCCGTGGTGTGGACGAAGGTAATAGGCAGAAGAGCACAAAGGTTCGGGCGCGAAGGTGGCGAAGGTGTCCACGGTAATCGATCGTCATTAGCACCCTGTGGCTAGCGAGGCTCGAGCATGTGGACGCGTTAACCTGTAACCTCGTTCATAGAAGCCCGTCAACGCTTTCCCGCGTCAAGGAAACATTAATATCAGCCGTGGCTACAAAAAGCCGGAGAATCGAAGCCCCGGCCACCCGCGAGCGTGGCCAACGCAGAAATTAATGACGACTCGTAGACAGACGCGACTCGCTTCGAGATGCGGCAGGGATCGGTCCAGATCTACGAATCTCGAAAATAATCAATAAAGTTATATAAGATTGATATACGTAATTAGTGGACAGGTCGGAGTATACGAGAACGCAGTATAGCTTGTCGAGAGGAGACTTTAATGGAATTTTCAATATTTCTATGTCCGTCTCTCTCTGACACTCGCGACTGACGATCGGTCTGTCTCTCTCGCACTCACAGTAGGTATGGCAAATCGTGAATATCTGCAATTTTCTATAAAACCCTCTAGCGGACGAATAAGGCACTATCGATCGATCTTACGAACAATGCCCGTTTAGAAAGTATACTTCGTTCGCGGTGATGATTAAAATTTAGTAAGAGTATGGACACGCATGAAAATTTCAACGGATACGCGCGTCACGTGATAGAATAATGGACGGGTTGTGTTTAGTTAGACGTACCGTGGATACTACTGTAACAGTAACATGGCCGAGTTTCCTCAATTGGATTTCTGACAAAATGGAGTCACACCGGATTGCTGTGCAATTAGTGAAACCGGGGGCGAGATAATTCTATGCTGTCCATCACTCTGTCGCTCACTTCCGAGAGGCAAGACTGGCTTGTGAGTGCGCCCTAAAACAAACAAGGGAAAGTCATTCTGCGTTGCGTACACAACTGGTATTACACGGGAACAAAAATGGCCGACGGGGAAGAACTCTACGGGAGGAAGAACTTATTAAATTAATGGAGGCTTTAAATTCGCTGACTAAGACTTCCACCGGTTCTAGGCTTAGGCAATATTTTAGATATAAAAAAAAACTGGTATCACCTGTACGACGAAATAAATTGAAAAATTTTTCGTAATAATATTTTGTACAAATTATAAAAATTCATGTATATTCGCTTTGACTGCTTTGTTAACGGTAATTGTTATTATTATTTCATCCACTGTCATATCATACGGTACGGCATCCTGGGAATATGCATCCCTTGGCGCAAGGGGTTGCAACGATCAAATAAATTGTATAAATAAAGCATAAAGAGATCCAAGCGAAATATAAGCAGGGCTGTCTCGAGACCGAGGGGGGCCCCCCACCTTTTATCCGCGTACCCAAAACGACGGGTAAGATGAACGTACGTGAAACAAATGCTGGGGCAAACGTAAGCAGGCATCCGGAAGTAATCGAAGGGCCGGTGAGCATCGCCAAAGCAAATCGTACCTGTCTCGTAAAGTAACGTACAACAAAGAGACTACGACAATGTGAGCAACGCGGCGAATAATACGGCACGATTTTATAATGGCGCTCGTAAAGTGTCAAGAAACGCACAAAGTAGTCTTTCTCTTTTTATCCCTTAGAATATCAACGCCATCTTGTGAATTCTTCACACCGCGTTACGTACGATCTTTCGTGTCCTGATACACGTACGTACCAACACTGTCTACGTCGCGTGCACTTTGTCCCAATAAATTCTAACTTCCGCCATGGTTGAAAACCCTGCCGAATACTTTACGAGACAGCGACGCAAGCAAGAAGTCTTAACGATTTGTTTTCGACTTTCCCAAAGCAGGATCGATGCTCTGTTGTCCCTAATAAAACATTACCCACCAGCCCCCCACCTTCCGGCACCTGACGTCACCCGTCACTCTACCAATAACACGTATTCCCTTTCACCGGCGCCATTTTTCTTTTTAAAAAAATTCAACTTTGAACTTTCGTACGTTAAAGCCACGTGCGATGCGTTTCGTAAGTGTATCTCTTCCTTCGCTGTAATAATCTGCAGCACGTACGTTCAACAGGGCTGCCAACTTTATGGATGAAATCCAAAACGTCCGCTGTGCTCTATCTTCCAGTTATCTCCAAGGGGCTGCGTATTGAAACGTAATCGCGATAATGGGGAGCCGTCTATAGCATAATGCGAGCACTCGCACGTTATTGTGTTATGAGGATATTGGCCGGACCCCCCGAGGCATCGGTGCCAGCATCTGTTATGTTTGTAAACCTGTGGCCGAGAAGCGCGATTTTTCAAACGCTCTGGCAAACAGCTTCCGGCCGAATAAAACGTACAGGACATAACGTACGGTTGCAGCTATGAGATCTCTAGTCGTAAAAATAGTGAGGAATGTTTTCAATGGAACAGTCAATTCCCAGGTTATTGGATAAATTATTTTTAAAAGATTTTTCTCAACTTCTGGAAGATTGCACGATTTTTCTTTCAAACGCTTGTCCCATCTTACGTTTCTTTTGGGATTTAGCATTTGAGGTTATGGAGTCCAATTTTACTACGGATCTACTATAGCATTGACGCAGAACTTTTAGGTATATTATGCAAGGATTTTTACCCTGGATGGACTCTGGTCATCCCAGACCTCCTTTTCCCCTCGTCTGCTCTTTGGACATTGATCGTAATCGTAATACTCTAGTTGGATGAAGGATCTGGTAACAATACTCGAAAATGAGCAACAATGCTTTCTTACTATTTGATGACAATACCGTGAGAACATTGGCATTAGGTAAATCCAACTATGACGTTTTATACTCGGATTACCATGGTCAAGATAGTATTTTGGATTGTTACGTTTATGGTATAGGATTGCGTGGAACCCGAAGATACTCGAGGATTTTTCGTACAATACGAATAAACGACCAAGGTATCATAGAAATCTTAACAATAGAGTCCAATGGAACAGAGAGAGAGAGAGAGAAAGAGAGGAGAAAAAGATATCACTGTATAAGATTAATACAAATTTTCATCGGACTGTTCGTTTAATAAATAAATAAAAAAGGCGAAGGTGTATATAGGTTAGGTTTTTGTTACCACAAGAAAAATCAGCGTTAGTTAAATTTCTTTAGGGATGCTAATGCCTTGTCCTATTATACGTCGTATCCCGCGGGACACGAAATTTACCGTTCCTGCGATCGGCTCTTATGATAAGGGTTGAAATTGCAGGTATAATACCGGGTAGCATAATGGCAACATAATAGTAACACAAGCCACCGCGCTGTCAGTCCGTCGTCGTAGTTTTCAATGCTGCTCCTTTCAAGCCTCTACTCTTTTTCTCATTTTTTTTTTTTTTTTTTTTCATAGTCTCTCTTTTTCTCTTTACGATATCCAGATCCCTATCTCCTCTATTATTCTCTCGTTTCTGCTACTTGAACGCATAATACCGTCTGTTCTATATATATATATACTTCCCATAACTTTCTACCATTTTAAATATGTCCGCCATTCATCCAGCCGTTGTGAAAAAAAAATATATTTAATCTTCAATCCCAAGCTACTTTATTGGTATCGTTCATCCGGGACCCATTTCATATATCAGGAGAATCAGTGAGGTTAACAACAATTTTTTTTACTTATCTATACGGTAGCCGGTAGGTTTAGCGGATTTTCTCGTATTATAATATCGCGCGTTATAATAGCGTGTCGGGGCACTTGATACCCACGCGGTGCCATCCGGTTTGCCGATCGAATTAAAGCTCGCGATGGGCCGGTTAAGCCTTAGCGTATAACAAGAGGAGGGCCCGGTTGGACGAGAAGTGTTGGGAAGGGGACGGGTAGAGAGGATGGGAGGAGAAAGAAAAGGATGCGAAGGGGGGAAAAAAGAAAGGAAAGGGTTGCACACGGTAATAATATATTGTCATTGGGTAACGTCTTGATGCCGCCTTGCTACGTAATATATTAATATATATGTCGCCCTGCACGCTCTTTTGCTCCTTTGCACGCTCGTGATCTCCTATGGTACGATAATGCCTCTCATAAGTCAACATGATGTATTGACCCTGTTGGTAAGGCCCATCCTTGAGTAGGCCCCATTTCGCGTGAAAGGATTCTATCCCTTGTAACATTGCTCTTGCCATTTTTCAGATTGCGTTACAACGATAAAAATCATAATTTTACATCCGCAGGCTTTGTTGATACCTTCGAAAGAGCGTTGATCGTTAGTCCGAAATGGATGAAGATTTTAGCGAGGTAAATAATCTATTTTTTTTTTTTTATTATTCTGTCAAGGGACAAATTATCATGGGATTTTTGTTAGGGACTCGAGCCCTTTGGATTTCTGGATTTTAATGAGCAGCATGCGCGATTTCGTCAGGGGTGATGACAATGGCGACATAACTAGATCTAGAGCGAAGAAAGGGTTAGAAATGGGTGGCGTCGCTAAACCAGGACCGGGAAGCATGTCGTAAATCATCGGTTAACGCACTGTTTAGGCGAGGCGGTTTCACGGTGGGTACAGTCTATGTATGCCTTGTGCACTAAATAATTCCACCATGCGCAATGGGGTGCATGGAGGGAAGCCCTTTCGTCTGCCGTAACCCCCAAGCTATGCAAAACTGTCAATTTGATGTCTATATGTAATTCAGTCACGGTACAACACAAGGTAAAAGACAAATCTTTTTTTTTAATTTCTAAAACTTATAAAAATCCAGGAAAACGTACAAGTAGGTACAGTCCTGTCAGATAATAATTACCTACTTGAATCATTCCACTAAGCATCGGAGCGTGTAGAAAGTGGCTCTAGGAGTACAGTACACTTAGGTAAGTGGTTCACAAAGAATGAATTTCGATCCGGTAGCTAAATCGGACTAGTCCAACTGGATGATCAGGGCTGGTGAGCAGTACGATATAATTTAAACGAGGCTCTCATTTACTTGTGATTCCTGAGGCGTGGCCAGAGATTGGTAATCCATGTGTTACTACCATTTTACTTGGTCGAACAGGTTCCAAGTCGAACAGATCGAGTTTACGAGATGGAGTAATGGCTCTGAGTTAACCTTTTTTTTTTGAGAAACACAAGTTCACGTTACGCTTGGGTCACCTCGAGCTACCAACCGTATGATCTTGGTACATGGCGATCGGTCTATCAATAAACGATAGCAGATCAACACTGTATCTTTCTTTGAAAATGACTATTGCTATTGTATCAATGGTATCAGATCGAAGCCTATCTAATTGTAGTGTAAATTAGATCGGTATAGCTTGTAAACGTCATCAGGAGTAAACGACATTGTTCAAGATCCTGTATATCGGGCATACGATGTATATTAAGTAGTACCAACCTTATAACCAAGGTATATCCTTAAGCAGCAGGGCAGCCCAATATCATTAACACCTTAAGATTTCAACATAGCATTCGTCTTGCTTTTGAGAAGCCGCGGTAATCCGGCGGCTACGTTTTACTCGGAGCAGCACGCGAGGCGACATATTTATGGCTTGTTTTTAAATATTAAATGATACAAAGGTGCCGCTCGAGGCTCCAGCAGAGAAGCCTGCGGCACGATTCAGTCGAAGTCTGCACGATAAAGACGTTACGTGGTCTTTAAGTTTCTCGGTCCACGAAACACGAAAAACATAAGCGAACGGTAACTCGCATGAAAAATAAAGCAATGCGGACAAAACCTAGTGGGGAACTTCCGAACTAGATCGATCTATCTGGTGGTAAGTAAAAAAGATGATATGAAAGTGACTCCATCTCCAGAGAGGAAAGATGATCTTATCGATCGATTCGAAATGGATACATCGATCATATATTGAAATGGATAGTTTAATCTCTACCACGTATTCACTATTGTTCGCAATAATCGATCCTTGATATCGATAAACCGTTGACGACTCTCGCCGATATCACATAACCTAAGTCGACCACTCAAACTCCCTTGCCATCCCGCTGTAATGGATTTAACCAGTGGATATATATATATATATATATATATGTATATATTGCGTGTTCCTCTAGACTTTTATCCTCTAATAATTCATATATAATATTGATAGGCGCGTAAACATAAATGCTCGTTCATTTGGTATGTATTTAAGGACTTGCTGGGTGTGCAGGTCAGGGCAGGTGGACACGCTCCCACATAGGAGTATACCGATCACCGCCCTACTGAGACACGATACGTAGTTATGGACAAACCTGTAATGATAGTTGCCACTCTATATATATTCTGCTCAACTCATGTCGTAGAACACGCGCCTGCAAATATCATACTTGGTTATTACATGTGAACCATATATTCTAAGAAAATTTCGATTTTATGTATGGTGACTACATATGGTATACCAAGTGGACCTCTGTATCCATATGTATATATACACAAGGTTACTACAAAATACTGATTAGCTTAGAGCATATAATGATTTTGAAGATTTTCATGTGGAATCCTTAAAGAAAACTATAGTAATACAGTTATCGTAAACAGGAGTACTGTTATAAAGGTGTAAGCTCGGTATTACTGGATTCATATTGGTTTTACAACTTGGGCCTTGTCGTAAATATTTCGGAAAATAGGATTGGGCCTTCGCGCCTTACTAATAGGATATATCCAGCTATGGTACCGTTTCATCCCCTTAACTTATTTTACAGGAATTAACAGTGCCGAGTCAAAGTGTTTAGAGAGTTGGTTAATTTTCAAAAATTTGATTTTAACCTTGTACTGACTTAAATATTATTTTTGTAATTTTGTTTAACTACTGTGCAATTATGGATATTTATTAATTGTAGATCGATACAGTTTTCTTACGTCCATAAAACTGTATTTCAAGTAGTCCCTCTTATAGTGTTCTTATAATTTCCAATGTTACCAGTTACTATTGTATATTGTACAGACACAAGCTGACACTACCCCTGAATATTTAACGCTCTTGGTCTCACTGTAAATTCAAGTGTATAGATGCATAAGTGTACTATTCCTTATCCTTTCTATGGTAGTCACTTTTTACACACTTATAAGCATACCGTGTTTACATTGAAATATGTGAGAATTCAAGACACTTGTGAGTGCGTGAAAAGTGACTAGTATAGAAATAATAAAATTTGCTTCATACTTAGATTTGCAATACTGTTACAAAATTTTTGTCAAATAACCCCAACGATAAGTGTGACCCGATTCAAAGTAACCATCCTAAGTAACGTCCTTGACATTTATGAATACTTTTGTCTGCCTCACCCGATATGCATATATACTATACGTATAAGAGTACGTTTTCTGCAATTTATATTTCATACTACAAGACAGATCGATATCATAGATATCGATTATCTAGGATTGTATTTCAGTAGCAACCAAATTAATATATATTATTATTTTAAAAATACTAAATTTCTAAAAATTTCAGTTTTCCAAAAATCCACTCTCTGTCCATAAGCATATGGTCAAAGAGCTCTTTTATTCTCTCATAATAAAATCGTAGATTCTCTGTACGGCTTCTGACTAGTTCTTCATCGATTTCTTGTACCGCCATAATGGGCCTTATCATTTATTAAACACGGTCCTAAAGATTGCCATGAGGTATAAAGGAGCCACATTATTTCGTTGAAATTATCCAATTATGGCGGTAACTAAGTGTCCCGGTCTAGTATGGTCGTGCTTTTTATTAATGTAAAAAGAATCGTATACCAACGTAAAAGATAGAAAGACTCTAGATTCTAATATCGATCAGACTCGTGACTCTCGACCCCAGTCCGGCTTCCTTGTATAATACATTGAAAGGCAGTAGATACGGCGAATTATAAACTAGAACAAGTAGATTTCATATAACGTATTTCGATCGCAAAATAAAAATGGTCGCCGCTACATAAATCGAGAAAAATTTTTTAGAATCCTGAAAAAAGGGGACCCTTAAAAATTGTTATTTTAAACAACCAGTATCATACTGTCCCTTGTATTAAAAATGTACTGGCTAATTTTCATGAATGGGTGTACAGTGTTATTGTAGGTAAACCCTTATTTGGGAACTTTTGACTTTTAGAGCTGCCATCTGCTTAGTGTATCCATATGGATATGTAAGAAGTGTATATATACATACATATAGATACATATATGGATACTAGTGCATATGAATATACGACTTACCAAGGACAGTAGTTATATACGCTTCCTCCTGTGATTTAATGTTTCCAACATCCCCCTTTTTGGATCGAGTGCATCACCCTCTTGGGCCCCATGGGTCCTTCGGTACCGAGGGATGACATTGTGTTCCAGTTACATATTTATCGTGTAACAAATAGGCGTACGGTGTTATAATATCGCTGTCGTACTGGACTGGTTCGTTTTCGCACAGGAGGAACTCGACGTGCATGAGGGAGAAATAAAAGGGGGGCCCCCAGCTGCCGCGTTATGATTTTTGGGGCCCGAAACATTTGTGGTAACACGGTCACTGCTCGTGACAATACCGTGAAATAAACAAGTCAATTATACCCTCGAAAGAGACGGCCATGTTTTCTTTTTATTTAGGAACACACTGAGATATTTGCGTTCGGCAATTGTTCGGAATTTTTTTTTTTCACTAGGACCGCTGTCTCTTGATCATCCTGAATCTTTTTTTTTTATTTTATCGCCCTGAATTGGGACTCTGTTTACTCTGTACTTGAAATCTGTCGACTCGAACGCTTGTACGATTAGCGTCCTTCGCTCTTGGAAAAGGGATTCGTTTGTCAGAAATTTTGGCTTTGTACGTTTGTCTAGTGAGAAATCTATGCGATTGTCCTTTGGGCCCAGAGAAAATATTTTTCGGCGGACCCACTGGGCGTTGGGACTTGCGTGGGAAGCTGCGGAGTGTCAAACTATAACGCTGTTTATGCAGTCAGGAGCGTAGTAAGTTTTGGGTTCTCAACTGGAAATATTTAGAGATTTTCTTAATTGTTGTTATACACGGTGTCTACTATTTTCGATTATATTGGGCCTTATTTCAGATTTCTTTTTAACGTATAGAACACCGCATAGCTTTGAATATGACAGTAGAGTAAATATAGAATGTAACATTTTTAGGTTAGATTGTTTAAGAACCACTGACGTTCATCTCCTGGATCCGGGATTACAATAGGGCCTGTTTGTTGCTTTTCTATTTTTGTGAAACCTCCGTAAAAACTAGGATAATAAGATTTCGACAGAGATTCTTCGGACGAATCGGATTGGCTGAAAGGGTTGTCCGTTCGCGAGCCACGTAAACGTCTTGACAAAGGACTTACACCTTTTTTACCCCATTTCATCACTTAACAATTGCCATACATTGTAACGTAGGAAATCGGTGAAAGGTCCAAAAAAAAATCCAAAATGTTATCCCGAACCTTCGAGAAGCGACCAACGGACCCAATATAAGTCCCAAAAGTATAGCAGGATCAAAGATCCCAGAGAATAGAAAACCAGTAAGGACATTGCGGTTGGCTGTACGTGTAACACCTTTGAGAAAGAGCCTTATTTTTGTCAAAAAGAAAGCCAAAAAAATACAAAATAAAAAAACCGCTACCGCACTTGAAATGAAAAAAAAAAATTATCCTACGTGGATCAGTCCCTGGGTTTGTGTGGGTGTCGCAAAAAATTACAACCCCCGTGAGATCCTAATACTTCTATCCTTGTACTCCCTTATATATTTTTCACATCTTCCTCGACGCGTACCTGGTGCACCTATATGGTATCTCACGAAGTGGAAACTATCTCACGTTGAGTTCCCATAAATCCCTATGCGTGAAAATTCAAGTGTAACCCGCACTCGAAATGATTCACGAGATTAAATCTAATCAAAGAGCAATTATTAACGCATTTACACCTTGCAGCTGGTTGAGCCTGGAACATTCCTGAAGTGAAGTTCTGAGGGAACTTCAGGCTTCTGCGCAGAGAATTTCAGAAGCTAAATCACTTCTCTGGTCATTCGGCTGGGAGCCACTTCTTTTATCCCTGGGACGTACACCCTCTTGGCTGCTCAAGATACATGTGTAACAGGATTATCCTTAGCAATTGCTACCAATTACCAATTATATTTTACCAAAGAGCTGGCTGGTCAACCCTGAAAAAAAAATTCAGAAAAAATTATTGACTATATTCTGGTAGAGGTGTTTTAGGAATTTTTGAAGTAAAAAAGGGGATAGTTTTATTTTCGACGGATATATAGGTATAGAGAATACATTTTGAAATTCTTTAGGGTTGATGCGACGATCTGTAACGGGGTTAAAAAATTGTGATTGACAGCTATTTGACGGTTCAAGAATATCTAAGGGTGGATCAGGTATATACAGGGTACCTACTCAAAATGGTACTTTTATACGTACCAGAGATATTAAGACGCTTGGATTAAATAATAATGGCCAAGTTTAATAATATGGAATAAATGGAGCAGATGCTGGAATCTATGGGGGTACCATAGAACCCTCTGAACTTGTCATTTCGATCAGCTCGTGTCTCTTCACCCTTGAAAAAAAAAACGCAAACTCACTCATCTGTTTGTCAATTCATATTGAACATAGATGGCATCCTGACTGCCATGAATATCACATATTCCCCATAGAGGGTTGATGCGACAATACAATATGGGGTAAACGTTAAAATACAAGCCCCCTTAGAAAAAGTCCATAGCAATAAGACCCTTAAATGAAAAAGACTAAAAACACTCCAAGAAAAAAAAAGAAGAATGTACTTGAAAAATCGCTTTTGAAATTTCTGTATAGAATTCCATTTTAGTCTATATCCTGTGGATATTAAATAATAAGAGAGTACAAATTTTCCAAAATTCATGTCTAACCCATAGGTATAATGAATTTGGAAAAATTACAAAATTTCCCAAGTGGCTATATCAATTCAGTAAACGGTACGTGAACTAATCCACTGCTGTTTTCCAAACATTTGAACAAAACTGAAGGACGAGAGGATTAGTCAAAATGGCGAGGAGGTTGAAAACTATGAATGAATAACTAGAGGAAGAAGAAAACCTTCTTACAAGATGGAGGAGGAGAAGTAAGACTGACCATTCGCACGGTGGCTTAGAATTAACCATTTCATAAGAGTAAGGAGTAGCGACAATTGCAAACCGCAATGTTATTTACAACATGGTCGATCTGGGTACATGCTTCTCGTTACTAGTGCCTTATAAGTACAGTAAAGAATATACCGGTCTCTACCTGCCGCCATTAGACGGATTAACGATCCTTACCGACAGGAAGCACAAAGTTTTCATCGTTATTTCTCTCATGGTAAACGAGCGTGACGCGACAAACCGCAACAAGATTTATTGTACGTTACAAGCAAAATTGTCAATTCTACACAGTTTGGTATACGAATTTTTGAATTTCGAGCACGAAAAGTGGATAATATCAGTAACAGCCTCTGTTGGATTTGCAAAGCAAACTTATAGAGACTAGTAGTACAGTCGCAAGATTTAAAAAAGATTTAACAATTATTTTCGTCATTTAAAACAATATTCGATTATACCATAGAAATTATTTTAATAGGCGTGGTCATACTTGGTGAAGCTTAACTAGAAAGTGGGTAATAAATCCGCTAATGAGTGTTGTACGCGCAGGCGCTAATCTATGCAACCGCAACGTACGGAAACGCCCTTTCTGCCCATTTATAATAGAAAGACCCATTTCGTTAGACTCAAAAGGTACTTCTTGGTTCTCTCTATACAATACAGAGAGACACTTTTCGACAGGGATGATTCCTCATTAAGAGGATTACTGATGTAAACACTATAAATCAATAGGCCTCAGATGAGAAACGGGCCTTGCCTTAAACCGCATTGACAATATAATATTAGAAGTACTGTTGTAGAGCATATAACCATAGAAATACGTATAAACGTTGTCTATACTAGTACAATAACATTGCATATTGCATGATAACAATTCGCTCAAATAAATAAATAATTTAAGCTATTGATTTGAATTCACAATAAAAAAATCGAGTAATCGAAGTGAAACTATACCACAATACCACAATAAATATATTTACGTTGCTTGAAACTCTATCAGTATTTATACACCAGTATATACGAATATACACTGTAGGAAGATGAGGATGAGGGTGAAGTAGAGCCCTGCCCAAACCGGATATGGATACCTGGGGGAACCGCCCACGCCATTGGAAAGCAACGAATCAGACGCGAATCCTCGTGAGAGGTGAACGAATAGGGTGATAGTGACGTCCTCTCTTTCTCCTCTCTCTCTACTCTCTATCTGCTATCTCTTCATATCCTCCCCTTGCTCTCTCTCTTCTCTCAGCGGGATCCAGAAGACGCTCTCTAGTCTCTCAGCCTCTTGGACGGTCAAGATCTTCGTTCTCCACTTTGAAGAAGACGCTGAAGAGTCTCCAAAGAAAAAAAATGTCTCGCCTGGCAGTCCTAAAATAAATTTCGCAATGAATAAAATTAATTAAAATTACCCAATTTGAACCCGCGTACATAACCTCGTTCAATAATACAATTGTCATGCATTAAGTTTACAATAATCGTCACTGCCAGTATTTACCAGAGAGTCAATGTGACAAAAGAATTTCGTGACGTACATAAATGCCACATGTGGCACATAAATCCTTGCGTTCACTTTTTCACCTGAATGAAATTCTAAACGCTCTCCTTTCCTTTCCGTGCGACAGCCGAGTGGCTTCTCACAATGACTCTTTTTCACCAGATATATTCACGCACGTTAGTATCGCATGGACGTCACTCTTGTGACTCTCTCGGACAGCGAGCGGCATTTTGATCTTTGTTACGCGCCCACGACAAGTCCGACAACTCTGTGAGCCAAGTCTTTCCTTCTAATGTGATCTCCTTGTCGACCTAGTTTCTGGAGAAATTAAAAAAAAAAAATTATATTTCTCACGACAAAATGCGGAGGTGGTCTTAACTCTGGTATCATAAGCAATTAAATGATACAATTTAGGTAGACTAATTTATGAGTTATGGGAAATTTTTAAACAAATTTTGACACACATATATGCATATACATATATAATCCTAAGCTGATACCATGCTAATGATTCATTTATACACTGCAAAGTAGATTAGGTACGTGATGGATGAACGTAGATGTATGACGGTGAGTATTATGAGTGATTGTAGAAGAGAGGTAAAGTAAAGACAGAGAGAGAGAGAGAGAGAGAGATACAAAGAGAATAACGAAGAGAGGCGCTCTTATTTGACCCCAGGCCCATTGCGCGAGTTAGCGGACTGCCGCGATCAGTTGGGGTCACGCAAGTCGCCACCCCAATTCACCTAATGGGGACAAATATCATAATTGCTTCGTCTTCACTAAGCATCCAAATGGATTGATGCTCTCTTGCTTGCTTGACTCTTTCTTTATCTTTATAAGCCGTGCCTTTACTAGCCACTCTGTATGCTTGGATTGTCAATGGAGTGTACAGTCTGGGATTTACTTTATACGCACCCACTTCTGGAGCAGCCCTTAGTCACTGTATACCATACAGGTATCTTTTAAGGAATAATTACATAGTTTGTATAAAATTCTCTAATCTCATAATCTGTACTGTTTTTTGGTGACCTGATCACCTTATGAGATTTTTAGTAAAAGAAAACTTTTAGGAAGTTTTGATGATTAAACAAAATTTTGTATGATTTCAGATCCACGTTCCCGTAGCTGGTACCTACGTGTAACCTGGCGTGGGCGACGGAGGCGGTGCTGATATCCACTTGACCCGGGACTCTTCAGTATATTTATCCACCTAACTAAGGTCTGCGGTGTCAACACGAGTCAACAGTGGTCAATAAGCGATCAAGTGGCCCCACAGCCCACACCAATCATAATTCCTGCATTGGCCTCGTACGAAATCGTCATTTCGTGGTATGATTCGTTCATTGAGAAAAATAAAGGTGAGTCAGAAAATATCTGCAGACAAACATAGAGTCGGTATAGCAATTATATGTAGCATTAAGAATTAATTTAAAAAATACCTTAATAAAATTCCAGGGATATTGGAGCCGTGTCGAGTCCACTGGACAAAGCAGAAGAGATTTGTCCCGAGAGGCCGTAGGGCCCCAATGGTCGACTTAACCCTGGGCCTCAGTGTCAACGGTTCACATTAATTCATTCGAATTAATCGTGAACGTCGCAACGAGCTCAGAGCAAGAGAGATGCTCTTCTAAAAGTGCCTCTAGGCACGGATTTATTGAATCAGTTTATTAAATGCTCACCGGTCCCACTGGGTCTGTAGGACCCACACAGTAGTTGGGTCCAGATAATACCTTGAAAAATACCAGGAATCCTTTCGCGTTATACAGGCACTTGAAAATCAATTTTATAGCTATTATCGATCACATATGTAAAGACACATATGTCCAGACACGCCAGTATCCTGCCAGGATTCTGTTTACTCACACCATAGACAGCAGGATGATGGTTCTACCAAACCCCATAGACATGATCCTCTCCATTATGCATCCTATTCAAAGAAATTATTGTTCTTCGTATTTCCGAACAGGTGACATACCCCCACGTTTACTTATTCATCACAAAAACGTGAGTTGCCGGTCGAACGCAACGTGACTTTGTACTTAATAAAGCGTATATGTTTTCCCATAGGAAAGTAGAGTCCATCCTGAAATTAATTAAATATCAATCGATGTCCTCGTATCGATACAATATTTATATAAATAATATACTAATAAAATCTATATTCATACCAATTCCAAGGTAGTGCCTTTGTACAGAAGTAAAAGAGTGAGATTGTGCAACTGGTATAGGGAATATTTTCCCCATATCGATACTAGTTATTCATTATGTAAACAGTGCAGCATATATCGGTAAACCATATCGTGATCACCTGTTATTCCTGTCTTTCCAGGGAGAAGTAAAGGGGAAAAATGCCGGTAAGGAAAAGGAGAAATTGAAGGCAGAAGATACGAAGGGGTCGCGAGCAAGCGTAAGGGTTGCAGTTGTGACCGCAGAAGAAGAGCCGCCATCGCAGCTGCGACATCCCACGACCCCATCGTTCACTCATCAATGATTCATTGACGAAGAACGCTTGGTGTTACGATCGTGCACGAAAGCACCGTCCTATAGCTTACCCTTATATTCTGAGGGTGAAAACCCTCACCAGGTTTCATAACACGGAACATCATTCGCTGGTACTAAAAATATAAATACTACGAGTACATTATAACAATCGTTAAGCATCCTAAGGATGTCAATCCCATATTAATTAATCAATCCTTTCATTAATAATTATATCAACAGTTACCCTCTCTCTCTCTCTCTCTCTCTGTAAATTAGGTGGATTTAATCAGCGACCACGATCTAGAATCAGGAAAGATTACAAGGACTACGAAGGACCTTGGTAAGGACTTGAAAATGGAGGCTTGAATATCCTCGATTATTTACCAGGTGGACGTCACATTACCGTCGGCTTAGGATCGACGCGGTGAGCCGCGAAGTCGTCCCTGACAAGTCCTTGGGAGTTTGAGTCTGTTACGAGGCACATAGGTAGGCAGATATATAGGTACTATCTTCTCCCTATATTCCTTCAGCACTGTCCCTGCAGAATATTTTGTAGAAGAGCTGTGAGAAACCAAACACAGAAATGTATATATAGTATAAAGTATATACATGAATTAGGTAGTACCTAGAGGACCTCGCTGGACAAGAATGACTAAAAGAATAAAAATGTCTACGTGGGAACGTCGTATCATCCGGAAGGAATGCAAGCGGGCTTCCGCTTGATTTCTCGCCCAGGACCATCCCGAGGAAGATGCTGATCATAAAGTAAATATGACCACAAGGGTAACTTGGTCCAGGGTAGTTAAGCCGCGAGGCCGCTAAACAGATTAATTCACTGGTACTTGTACCAAACCTAACTATAGTAATAGCTATATAGATATAGTGGATCTTATTATACCTAAAGGACAATCCTTACCTCCTTGAAAATCGAGAATGTCGAGCCGACGGTGAAGACTAAGCTGAGCCTATTTGGTTAAGAAGCTAATCTTTCTCTCATTTTCTCTCTCTCTCTCTCTTTCTTTCTTACTCAGGAGTATGAGAATCTGACAGCTCCAAGACCCAGCTTCTCTCTTCTCTTTTAGGTTAGGTACTCAACAACTCTGTCTATCCTTCTCCTTCATATTGGTACTATATCTCATCCTCCTCATCTAGGAGAGGAGTCGAGAGTCCAAGGTAAGCAGATCGGTGCTCATCGGTCCGCGATGATCCTATTGTACTACAAAAACTTTGTTATTAAGAACGTTCCTACTGCATACATTTAGCAGTTAGTATATACCAACCTTTACTCGTTATAGGAGATCGAATTTAAAGAATTCAAGCTTTATCAATCTGATGTATGAATCATCCACTAGGTATCATCCTTAGATTGAAGAGGAGTCATTCGTCATATAAAATTTCTTATAAGTCCATATTATATACTGTTAAGTGGAGTATATTATTTACCACATATACCAGTTACACAGCTACTGCTGAAAAAGGTTTTTAAAATGTATCTACATTTTGGCATCTGTCCCATTCCGTGCATTTCCCCCTTACCAAATCTAGGGTGTCTCATTGGACAAGGCTATCTGGCATCTTAATGCCGGAATTCCCGGCTGTATTTTCAAAAGGATCTGCAAGCCGAACGCCGTGTAAACAGCCGATTCTCTCCCTGCCACGTCCGGGAGCTGCACTCGATGTATCAATGCCATGAATGCGACAATCCAAATATTTGCCAGTCAGATTAGCCAGTCCGCGCGGCTTCCTGTTACGTTTTTCATCTTGTACGGTGTATGCGTGTATATACATATGTACTGTAGTATATGACCTTACGAATTTCTACCCTGGCGACGCATCTGTCACCAGGATATGCGGAGAGCGTTGGAACTGCTCATGGAGTGCTCATGGAACTCTTTTTGATTAATCGTAGATAGTAGTGCAGGACAATCTTACTGGTGCGATCTTGTTTCGCGTGAAAGCTGAACCACGTTTGAGTCCTTGCGGCCAGGTGCATTTTCCGGTGTGCTGGAGAAGAGAAAGAGAAGAAGAAGTGAGTGAGTGAAAGTAGAAAAGTAGAGAAAGGATCGAGTAGTAAAGAGATTTACTATTGGTATAAAAGGATTGCTCGCCAAAAGGATTTACTCGGGCTGGTTTTCGCGCTTGTGATTTCTTTACGTTCTGGTTGAATCCTTTTTTGAAAACTCAAGGACTCCTTGAACGATTTAAGGAATTGCGACAATCTCGAGAGCGACTTGAACTCATTGTACTTGTAGGACCTAAGGATTTGTTAGCAGTGAACTAGTATAATTGCGAATTATGGGATTCTAGGGATTTCTTTCGATTAGGTTAATCTCATTTGCAGTGTAAAATGCCGTCTCGAGAGGACACCAAAATTTTCAGTGGATTTCAACGTCTTACATTTGGAAATTCCTAATAATTCTTTCTATCGCTGTGTGTCGTACGATAATATGCTGTCAAATGTTCTAAACGAATTTTCAAAATTTGTTGCTCCAATTACAGTGAATTTCTGTATTCATTACTCAATCCTCTTATCATTCAAATTTTCAAATTTTTGAAAAATCAACTATAGGAACCGCTAAAAATTCTGGCAAAAAATTGTTCTCCTTCTCCTCGCGTAGTAACCGAAAACGGATAGGACGAAGCGTCGCGACGTCGACAGCTGTCACTGTTTGTTGGTTTGCGCGAGGGATTACTCGAAAATAGCTTGGGGGGAAAACAGTGTCGTCTGATCGTGAAACGTAATACAGCTCGTAATCCGTATTAATGATTGTTCCCGGATATTTGTCAATGCGGGGTCCTACGATTTTACTAGGTCCCATTCGAGGTTTCCCTGTGGTGTAAACGATAGTCCACAGAGTAAACAGCAGTTCGTCGAAGTATAATAAGAACCTTCAGTTACCAGAAATGACCAAGATTCACGTGACTGTCGTAGCTGTCAGAGTCAGGGATGACAGGGATGCATTTTTCAAGCAGTTAAGGGATCATGATGATCATATTTCAGATCGCTTCGATCACTCCAAGGGTTAAGTACGCTCTTGGGCTCGTTCCTGAGAGGAATCTTCCGCTTCCGGATTGGCGCGTGAGCACGAGGATGCTGAAGAGGGTCGCGCGTCCTCCTGGTAGCACTTAGGCACGTGGTGGCCAATGAAGGACCTAACCGAGGATCCGTTACTCCGGGTAGGAACACGGAATCGCTCTTATCCTTAGATCTTCTAGACGAGGATACTGTGGTCCGGGTCCTTTTCGTGGATCACGTTTCCCTGTAAAAAGGTCCAGAAATGAGAAACAAAGGGTGTATTGGATGCTGGGGCTGAATGGCTGAATAAGTCATAAACGATCACGTACCGCGTTTTGAAAAAATTAAAAATATTAAATTTTTATTATTATATGTATATACATAAGTACATATGTATACGTACGTGAAAAATTATTCCTACATTTTTTTCCGTAAAGAACGTGAGCAATCGGATTGCTGTCTTCTTTATATGTACCAGTTGTGTTCCGTGCGCACGTGTCGCAGAATTTGTAAGGGCTGAAAAAATAATGGAATCTAATTATGTAAATCCCAATATTAGCCACTCGAGCAGAGCGACAATGCCACTCTCTGGTCCGTCTCGACGCACCGGGACGCCTTATCAAAATACTCGAGAGACCATGCGCGGAGCACGTCCCGTCTGTTATCCCTGGGCGCTACAAATCTAGACGGTTTGTTTGAAAAACTTCGTCACATGGCCCCGTCTCGTCATTCACGTGCCTGTTCACAACGTTCACTGCTATGGGAAACCGCTTTAAGATGCAAAGCGTGCCTTGTGAGTGAATCCCCTCCTACAACAAAAATAGAAAAAAAGATCCTAACCGGTCATCGGTCAAAATCCTACGATAACTTTCTACCTTGTTAGCAACTACTATTCTATTCTGCTATTTACTGTTAAGAGACAACCAAAAAATATGTAAATACGTACGTGTAAATCATACAAATAGTTGTGTAATAAAAAGAAAAGAAAAAGAAGTTGTTACCTCGTTAATTACCGTTAAAGAGGCATGGCTCTGCGCACACCCAGTTATACAACCTAACCTCAAAGTTTCACACGTCAGATACAAATGTACATGACGATGAGTGTGTATACTGATTCGCAACTAACTTACCGCCTTAAGGGGTCTCTATCATAGAAATCAAATAGACAGGTTACCTTCTGATAATGCGTTTCTCTGGAATAACCCTGTAGGCAAGCTGGTACTTAAGAATGTTACATTACTTGACAATATTTCGATAATTGGTGAAAAAAGTTAATAAGTGACAGTGCTCCAACCAGTATGCAAGCTCAAGCCTTAATTACACAGAAATGAAATAGCTGTCACTGGAAACTCCCCACAGTGCACTAACAGCGCCATCTGGTGAAATGAGTACTGTACTATCCTATTATTTTTCTTAATTTTCTTACTATTATGAAACATGGATACAGGAATATAAGTGGTTGGGATTTTGTACGAAATACCTGGTTTACTCGTACTTTTACTTACTCAGCCAACGCTTACCAACCACACGCTGCTTCCTTAACATTTATTTCTGTAAAATCCTTATATGGCAGAGTATAACGTACTAAGCTTTACAGCGATATACACTTGAGGGACGATAGTGATATAGTTACTGGTAATTTTTCATGAGATACTCGGTATAGGTTACAGTGGAGTAACTTACAGACATTTCACGATATGGATTGGATATTAGACGAGAGCATGAATTGGATATACATATGCATATATATATTGAAGAAATAAAATTGTTATAAAATGTTTTTATTGGACTTTTATCAATATAACATTACTGTATGGAATTTGAATATTTTTTTAGTGTAGATTTATTGTATAGATGATTCTGTGGATGAGGGAAATAATTTGGGTACCCACCTTTGAGAAATTGAGCAGTGGAGCGGTTCCCCTTTCGTCTGGAAGGGCCCAATGGAAAATCGCCAGTCACGCGTTCTAATTAATATCTCACGCAGTGGGGTGAATACGAGTGTTAGGTAGGTATCATCTATATTTTAATGGGGCCTTAAGTATTCACTGGGTAATCCGTAAATAGGAGAATCCAAAGTAGTGGTAATTTCGGCAAGAGCCAATTACCGTGGAGAAGATCGCGCGCAATGTAAAGGGCAATCCTATTTGCATAAGGCATTGCGGGGCCTTATACATGATATCTCCATTACACTCTCTCGGGGGCTGTAGATCAGGGGCCTCGGGCCCGGTGGACCCGCGGGATATTTATTGAGAGCGTACGGGTTCGCGGGGCCTAGAGGGTTCCAGGCTCGACGGGGGGGCCCTCGAGGCCCCGTTCCTTATGACGTCATTTATTCTCGCTCGCGTCGCGTGCAGCGTCCGCTAATTGCAAACAGATTTATTGGCCGTAGAATTCTCTTGAAATTAATGCCTCCATTGATCGTCTTCCATCGCCACGCTCGATACTCCATTTCAACTGTACCTGTATAAAGCTTATTACTTTTAAAATTACAACAAAATTCTCAATCATGCGAAGAATCAGTCCCAAAAACAATATATTTATATATCTCCCCAATATCAAGGCCCCATTCAAGCAGTACCAATGTTAATCGACAAAAAAATAAAAGAATCCAAGTACCTAAATTGTTCGGCGGGTACTTTTGAATAGAGGACTAGTCTGGTACGTTCACGTGCATACTAGAGACAGGGGCGTAAATTGATCGGTACGGGCCTCATCAGGGCCTCATTGGGACTTCATCGGGGCCACGCGAGGTTCAGTCCTCGTAGTGGGGGCCGTCGATCGAGTCGAGGAGCTTATGGAAGAGGCAGTGGCGGCGTTGGGTGAGGATGAGGTAGAAGATGAGGATGGGGGAGGTGCGCATTAGTGGCTTTGATGTGCCGCGCGGTCCGGTATGCCTCTTCTCATGCCGTGGCTCATAGCTTGTCACTCAAACTTCGGTCGAACAAGCCATTGAACTGTGTAACTGGATGTCTTACTTTTTATTAGGTACCGCGAGTCGTTTTCATGTGGACTGTCCAAAGGCTCGGAATAAGATAACGATAGGCCACCTGACCCAACTACAGAGCCTAACAATACATTCGGCAGATACAAAAAGGTTAGATTTAAAATTCCCCGTTAATGCTGTCTGATAATTCCCCTAGATACCGTATGCACTATATATATTTTTTCCTAGGGAATTTCAAGTCTCCCCGCAGCGGTGTCAACGCGCTCGTAATTGGGCCGTAATAAATTAATTCGCGAACAATGCCAGCGCCGCTAAAAGAGCGTAGGAAAACAGAACGTGGCTGTAGACTCAATGGAGTCTGCTCTGACAAAACTGAATGCTCAAAGACTTCGGAGTCCGGACGGCACGGGTCAGCACGACAGGGATATAAGGTTACTTGTGGGAAAGACGCCTGCGTCTTATTATGGCTTGTTTTGAGCACTACCAACTCTTTAGTACTATAATTACGCGGTTATTGATAAGTCGATCAGGTTACCTTCTATTATGTGTGAACAATATTATAGTTCTATGAAGAATGGTTTCCTTCATACCTTCTTGCGGTTTTGGTTCCACCTTCTGGAGCTACCGTCACCCCCGCCTTCTCCTTGTGACTGTGGACGTAGCTTGGATATATATATTTTTTTTTAAGAATTTAAAATTAATTTCTTTACAGACCCTTCCGAGTAGCAAGTCTATTTAAATCAATCGAATTCTATTCTATCGCCATTTGCATGGACTCTCACGGGATGCTGTACTGTCGGCGCATTGTCTGCTAAAAGGATTTCTTACCAGGGTGCACCGCCCCTTTGTTTCTACTCCAGAGATACCCATCCATCTCGATATATCGATAGTGCTATTAACAAATTGAATTGTATAATGGAGCCAAAGGCCGAGTGCCGCATTGTGCTGGCATTCTCATGTATATGTGGGCGTCCCTATCGTAGTCCTCATCTACGGGGTGATTCGTGCTGAGAAAAAGAAACTCCTCCTAGTAATCTTAAACTTGGCAGACTAGAGTTTAAGTATACGTACCAAGAATGGGGACTTGTGGGCCTGTTTCTAGCTTGAAAAATCATCTTTAGTCTTGGCTGGGAAACTTTTCTTGTTTTTCTTTCTGCTATCTAGAGAAAAACAAAAGATACTGGATTGCACGAGACACAAGAATTTAAAATGGACCTGGACTACCTTCTTCTGAAGCTGAAGAAGGAAGGGAATGCGCGAAATGAAGGATGCCCCGGAGAAATGATGGATGTCTTGGACCAAAGTAGCTCATCCAGCTTTGGTAGATGTGAGATTTCTCAAGTCCTGTTTTAATCTGATCTGCAACTATGCAGCAGTCTGATGCCACTAGTATTATCATAAAGACCAGAATCTTTTAACAATTCCGCGAATTTCATATATGCTACCCATATACGTCTTTCAGTTTTGTTGACTTTCTTCGGATATATAATTATCATATTGATCTTGCATTATCGATCACTCTTAACGTGATAGCCTTAGGACGTGATGTTTCCCCAGAGGAAAGTAGCTAGTAATTAATGATGGTACAAAAATGGTAACCCCTGCCGTGAGGATGATCATTGTTTAAAAGTGTCCAGGTAGCAGGATCTGTGCTCAGAGCAGCGCTACCAGGATCCCATCTCATTAATCAACCATAATACAATCTTAACTGTTGAAGAAAATTCTTAAATGAGTTTTCCCGTAAGCAGCTACCGTATTATAAACATACGGCAACCCTTGCTAGGAACTTATATTTTTCTAGTGGTCCATTCATATTTTAGTACTGTACTAAGTATACCTGGGCTACCTGGATAATCGATACAGATTGTTGTCATTTTGGTACCAATTCTTTTTTTTCTTCCTTAAGAATGGTAGACAGTGAATGATCAGGTGTCGGCACTTTTGACACCCCACTTCATAGTGAAGCGTTCGCGCGAGATCTGCGCACTTTAGTTACGTGTCGGCACGTTTTCTTTGGGCCTTTCTTTAAGCATTGCCATCCATTTCTTCGTTTTTTTTCTTCTTCTTCTTTTACCCTACTAACTTCTCTGACTCCATGAGGATCCCGAAGAAGACGGTAGCCGTCCCGTATGCACGGTCAGGGCTGGTGCACGGCACCGCGGGGGTGTCATGTCACAATAGGTTGACGGGCGAAGGGTGGCGCGAGGGTGAAATAAGATGAAAGGCACCGCCGTGAAGCTCCCACGCCTCTCACGACCGCCTCACAATGGTACCTCGTGATCTTTTCCCTACGCCAAGAGAACCCTGCAATCCCTTGGCCACCCGCTGTCCAAGTTGTGACTTCATTTGGCGCAACAGCGAGATGGATTTTTGAATTTCAAAGAACGCAGAAAATATATATCTCACTATTCCTGGCAGGAAAATAATTAACTTATAAGCAGCATCTTCCAAAGTGAAGAGAATAAACTCTTCTAACATCCATTGACAATACGTAATTATCTTGTGTGGTAATGTCTGTCCTTTCAAAAAAAAAAGGGTACCAATTATCCAAATTTCGTTTCTTCCCACGAGTTCAGCAGGTACAAAATATTTCCACTGAATAACTTCGTCTGATCCAATCCTGTTCCTGTTTTCACAGAGGGTCCAAGGATGCTGTGCGACAGTCCTAAAAATCCATACTAGAGTAAATATAAGATTTCCTTTTCCGGTATCTTAAGATGATCCTCGTGAGTGTTTAAATAAAATGTCTTTATACAGAGTACCTGCAGTGGGGAGCCAGAGTATACAGTGCCCAAGAGGGACAGTTTTCTTGGGCCTCATGGGAGCAAGACCAGTCAGAAAAATCTATCGAGTCAGTGCCTCTATAGGAAGGACTTATTATATTGAAATTGTTTTATTTCAATGACCGTATCGATGCTCTTCGCGGGGTGTCCGAAGAAGCAGGCAGTTGTCCGGGTGTCCAGGTGTCTAGAAGGTGACTATCCCATCGTCGGTGAACGTTCCTGAAGCGTTTATCTGTTTTATCAACAGTGCGGCCACTAGAGCCACTATATCTGCCGTAACGGGCCAAAATAAAAGACCACGAAGAAGATCTCAAGGCAGGACACAATGGATTTCGTGACTTGCACGAGTCGTCCGAGAGTCTGCAGTTCACAGGATCCACTCTGGAGCTCTTGTCACTTAGAGAATCCGATGGAATACATCCTCCTCCTGAGATCAGAGGATCACAAAGAGATTGTAGAAGATCTAGAAAAGAAATTCAAAGAAATTCATCAACTCTGTTTTCACTCTTCTAGATCCTTGCAATGATCTGAATAAAATTATTTATTAAATTCTTATAATATTAGTCAATTATGAAAGTTTTCTCAGTTACTTTTTTTTAACCTTCCATAGCGATAAAAATACACACCAGATATTTTACATCCAAGTTTTGTATAGAGCCCGAGGCTTAAGTTTTATTAGAGCGTGAGTGTAGGCGATGCGAATAATGGAAGCATTACGATCAAGTCTTAGAGCCAAGGGAGCTCTGATTCCGTGATGCAATATCTCCTTTGACTGTATCATCCCGTTTCGTTTCCTTTGGTTCGATTTAGGAGCGAGACGACAGTCGGTGGATCCACAATGGAGTAAGACGGGTCCACGTGCGCGCGTCAACAAAAGAGTCCTGGATCTTGTCGGGCTGATAATTCCATTAGAGGACGTTATTGGTATACCATCCTAGATCCATCCGAACGATTCCAAGTATCGATCCGAGACACCTTGACAATAATGCTGTGAGTCAGTATCACAATAGAAAAATTCTCCATGAGGATTAGAAGTCGTATCTCCTTGGCATAATAAAAAAAAAAAGCAATAAATTATATCATAAATAAAAATTATACTAATTTCTGCTAAAATAAAGTATATACTTTTCATATACACGTATCCTGTACATGTATGTACAGTGGTACGAAGTGGAGGTGGGACGTTCGAAAAAAATTAAAGAAAAGTATAGAAGAGAATAAAAGAAAAAGAGCGATCGGAAAATAAGAAGGTAAAGAAATTCCCTAGGATGACGGGCTAATCCGTCAGCAATGCTGCGCGCGCGCGGCCTTCTCTTCGACTCGTTTGAAAATAAAGACAAACACGAACTCACCTTTTCCTCCAGGTTGAACCTCGGCTGCCTCACCTCCTTAATCCTCCGTGTGATTGCATGCCCGATACCAGCTGGACGCTCACGTGGAAGAAACGACGCCCGGCATGTATGCGAGTCTGACGGACCGTAAACCCTTTACCATCTGCAGGGGGTTCCCCTTCTTAGATAACTTTTCTCTTTCTCTTACTTTACAGAGGCAGTATATACTTTCTTCTTTTATTACTCGCTAACTCTGCCACCAGACACTCACTTATTTCGACTGTCCTTTCTTCTTCTTTTTTAAATCTATTAAAAAATTTCAATTATCATTAATTGATAATTATATTCATTCTATTAGGTTAATTAGAATATACATACAAGGTACTGATTGGGGATGCATTAGGAAGTATTAGTTTTCGTTATACTCCTATATTCGTATCTTCTTTCCACTTATTCGTTTTCTCAGTGAGAGGGTGGAGAACCCAGGAAAGGGGTTGGACCGATCATTAGCGGGTTGTGACGGGACTTACTAATAGGCAGCAGACAAGTGAAGATGTCGGGACTTGCTTGGGTCCGGTTCGACGATACGACGTCTCTCTGGCGGTGCCTTTGAGAACGGTGCACCGTCTCTTCGTCCTCTTCAAGAATCCCTGCCACCATAGCGACAGGACTCTCTCTACAGGGTTATTCAGCTCAAATGCACCAGTCAGATTTGACAGCTGTCATGCATTGATTAAGCAACATATTAGCAATACTCTACCCTCTAAAGTCACCAAAACTTGATATCCAGTAACAAATTGCCTACTCAAACCCTGTTTTTCTTTTGTATACTTAATACAATTTAATTCTATAAATATATAAAAGTTTCATATAATTTTTTGACTAATATTGAAGACTGAATTCTCTAAAAAAAAAATCCCTGAGGTGATGACTGTTGTTACTGGTTCTTGGTGATGCTGATGATGATGGGTCAAGATGGTCGTCGTCATTTGGCCCTCGTCGCTTGGGCTAAATGACAAATGAACTGTTTACTAAAAACTTCGGCAGGGATATCCATTACAGTCCTTGGGTTATCTGTACCTTGTCGTCCATTAGGATTTTTTACTATCCAACATAGCCGCGCGAGCCTATCTCTCTTGGCGCATCTTTCACCTTCTTGTTCTTCTTCTGCTTCTTCTTCCACGACTGCTTCTTTCAGTCCTTTTCTTTCTTCACTTCTTCTTCTTCTACCAAACAGGATTGTCGCAGACTCTCCTTTAGAGGTATGTCTACCTACCTGAAATTAAAAAGCGGTTCAAATATTTTCGGCGAAAATGTCAACCCGGCTGTCAGTTAGTCAGTTTCCTGACATCCCGTCCTCGATAGCGTCTTCGGGTTCCCACGGATCCACCGGTTGACTTCATAGTCGATCGAGAACTGCTTACATTCTATTTTCCTTTCTGATACACTCACTGGTATACTACCTGCTGTTTTTCAGTCATTCTGTATTTGGGCATATTATAGTTGGTTTATGTTTTGAGAAAAGTGTCGAAAACGAGAAATCTCCATTATTATCTCTATAAGAGCGAAAGTTAATTTTAGTTACAAAAATTCAAATTTTAGTGAATTTATTATAACTATTATTTCCTGTCAAATCTAAATAAGATGCAAACCTATAGATAGCATCCTTGTCAAACTCAAAAAAATTAAGATCAACTGGATAAAGTTTCCCAAAAACATCCAAAAATTTAGTGCACTCGATGCACGTCAAAGGATTTACACCGCCATCGAAACCATAAAACTCTTCGGCAGGAACAGTTCCTCGTCCTTTCTCCAAGAGTTCCTCTTTCACGGTAGCAGCACTGTTTTTCAAAATATTAGGAAAAATATTTATAGGATTTAAAAACGACAAAGCCATCTTACCCGACCATTAGGGCCGATTAGCACAGTGCGATTATTATCCTCGACCAAACATTTTTCGCGACCAATCCGATTTCCAAGCGATTACCTCGTTGTAACTTCAAATGCTTATTTCCAGAGAGCCTTAGAGCATCGCGTGGCTCACAGTTCATTTCAACCAGCAAGGGTTGCACTGTGACAGCACGACGGCTGCTCAAATATTTATCGTAATTACCAGGAATGGCTGCGAAAAGGGATTACAGCGAAGGGTTCAAAAGAATCTTTCTCGGCGAACCGGAAGCAGCCAAAAGGGCTCGCTTCCAGAATCGAGAGTCCAGCCTTATTCGAATCCAGCCACTTGGAATAATAACGTTATACCCATCTACATAGAATTTCCAGTCCTTTTCTCTCTCTGTTCCCTGAGCGCCCACCACTTAAACACACAGTGCAGTAAAGTTCAAAAAATATTCACTAAAATTCCCTAGACGAACTGCTACGCGTTCATACACTAAAGTCACTAGATATCCCTAGGCGTATCAAAAAGGTACTCACGACAGGCAGAACGTAAAGATATTCATGTTCTACAATAATAAAGTATACAGTAGCCACACGGGAGTGCAATTAAACGTCTGTCGAGTATGAAGCAATTGCCAGTGGCACATCTGTTGATGTCTTTAATAATAATGACCGACGTGCATTGCATAACGATATCAAAGTTATAACGCCAATCCTGCTTACATAATCACACCATAATAGACTCCCTCACGTATTTCCAGTCTGTTAACCTCTTCGCCCAACATCGAGAAATCCTTGACCACCACGTAGTGCCGCTTCCGTTTGACAAGCCGCTTGACTTTTCTTCGGAAAATCAAAGCTACCAACCTACTCGATCTAAACTCACCACAACCACGTGTCTCAACGAATCCAAACGGGAATGGCCGGCAGAGCAGTCGGATCGCGCTTCTCGTGAGAGTGCGACTATGCTGTGAGTTGGCAGCTAAGATGGATCACCGCGCGGCTTTCTTGTCGTCAAAGCTACGAAGCCCAGTGCCGCCAACAGATAACTCTATCCATTATTATTATTATTATTTTATTGTACGAAACACGCTTCCCGTCAGGCCTGTCCCGTTCCATACAGATACAACCACTTCTCGCGCTATTTCCAACTGACTCCACTGGGCGCTTCGACCGCCTTGGCGGGACTATTCAAAAGTCTGATGTTGTATATATGTATATATAAATCTCAAAAATGCCCTGCGCCACAGATAAATAACGGATCACGCGTTAGATTTAATAAAAGAATCAAGCAGAATAACGCGTATGGTAAAAGGTTATGAAAAGCGCGGGAAAATTAAATTAGTATACCAGGCATAAACCATATAGACATAGTGTGTTATAATGTAACGGGTGGATAATTCAAATAATAGAACCGTGAGGTAGTCGACGATAGTAATAGTAATAGTAATTGGAATAATAAGAGCGTTTCACGCCCTGGCCGTGTTATCCAGCCAGCCAATCTACGATCTGCCTTATGTGTGTTACCTTGGTACAACGTTGATAATATACATACTCCTATATCCCATCTACGTATAGGATATCTAATGTGTACGATCAACCTAGACGTTTGTTTCACCCTCTGTAAGCAATGCCGCCAGTAGGTTGAATTAGATCGTCATCTGTTCTCGCCCCGTAATGCTACCTGATTGGTTTAATTGGTAGAGTCGAACAGGAGTATGCAAATAGCTCGCGGGAGAATTATACTGTTTATCATACGTAAATACCTTACCCAATGTAATAACGTGAGGATAATAACGGTCGGTTTGATTAATTATTTTTTTAGATATTTACATTTTTCGAATTACATCATTAATGAAAATAACAATCTGGGGATTGATATTTTTTACGTTAACAAGATTTTCTCGCTCGATATTCATTAGGGACGATTTCTTAATCGGTCTTAGCCGCGATAATTAGAGGGTGAAGAATGACCCTTTGCCGAGGGGCCGAGGGTGTCGCGTGTACGTCGGCGACATATGCACAGCCCTGGGCAACCCTTCTGCTTCGCTCTATTTCTCCTATTTAACCCTAAGGTATGTCCGTCTGTCCATCCACGAATTCATATTTTATCGTTACAATTAGCTCGGGGAAAGCGTTAATTAACAACGCCCCGGTGCCTATCGCTATGCAGGTATCATTAGCTGGGTGCCAACACGATAATTTTACGTGACGTAAGAAATAACTAGAACCTTCTAGATCATTTTATTATTTTATATCAATTTATATCTATGCTATGTTTAGGTTTGACTGTTTCAGCTACTTTTTATTCTGTTTTTTTTTTTATTCTTCCGCAGCATCGGTACGCAGAGTATTAGGGTGCAGCTGCTTGTATTATTATTCCTCGCCATTAGATATCGAGGGTGTACTCGAGGGAGCGAATCGGGATATTGATACAAGATCCCTGCGGGGTCATTGATACCCAATCATCCGTTCATGATCGCCTCATTGTCTGGAAACCGTCGGAGCCGTGTTACTTTCTCACAGTTACCACAATCTTGAAAATTCATTCGAATGGCGTTCATTATTATTCCAATGAGTCTATGAATGATTCAGGGATGCTGTGGAAAAATTCGGATAAGATGGACCACTAATAATCGATAAAAAAAATTTTACCTGATATAGATATATAAAGTTATATATAAAATTTTCATAGAAAAAAACGTTTTTTAATGATTTTATACAATTTTGAGAAAAAAAATATTAAAATCAATCTAGATAGATCAAATCAATCTAGATCGTATCGTTGATTCTATTTATAAAGATTATATTAGAATTCGTCATTGGCATTCAGACTGTAACAATGCGTAGGCACTAGTTCCTGCGATGACTAATGATTTAGATCATTGTGGACGGATGACTGGATTTACAGCAGGAATCTTGAATTACGAATAGTCGTTAGAGATTTACTGGGAGCTTATATGGTGTTACACTGATCATTATAGGGATGCTTTATATGCTCCGGATGCGAACGAGTAGGATATTAATGCATGGTATTTTTGTTTCTACGGTGAAAAGTTGTTTTCATAGAAATGACTTATATATATGGAATATATATCAATGGACCGTGTCAGTTTGATACTAAGCGTAAGAGACAGGCCGACGACAATCAAGGATTCCCAGACGAAGCGGCAGACGAAGCGGCACACGTAGAGGACCGAACGGCAGAAAGATACCGTGTGACATCTTCACCGATCCTATTAGGGTAGACGCTCGTGATTAATACCTAGATTAAATTAAATCAAGCTAATAAGCGATCCCGGGCTACGCTCCGTATATACAGGGTGTACAGTAAGAAAATTAATGGGAATAAAAATTCTTTGTAAAGTACAGAGTCAAATAATTTTGATAAAAAATTCAAAATATCGTTAATTTTAATCAAGGTTGCTTATTATGTTTTTTGAGAAAAATTTATGTATATATACTTTAGTATAGTACACCCTGTATATACAGTAATGATCTGTTGACTTTTCTGATGCTAATTTACTGTTATGACGTTGGCTATTCCACATTTATTTCCTCGGCTTACTTCACTATGCGATTTGTTCTAGAAATCTTGTCGCTGCTATTGATCTTTCCTAAGGGTGAGTTTCTATATACATTGGGAATCGGTATATCGTGACGTTCACACCGCACTCAACGATCGAAATTCTATCAGGATCTGCGAATTGCTCGCGAGATCGATTAAGGATTCGAATAAAGAAACGATTAGGCATTCCGCTGGTCGGTTTGCCAGGGTATTCGAAGTTGCTGGAGCAACTCGCGTCCCGCCGGGACAAGTCAGCAGGAAGTCTGAGCCAGCGCAACAAGTGGCCCCCGAGGCCAAGGGTCCCTTCCACTTCGAGTAAATTCGAACCGCTGAAAATTCGCTGAAGTGGATTTCTCCTGCCTACTTACTGCAAGACCATCTCGATGAAGTATTTCTGAAAAGAAAAAAAGAAAAAAAGAAAAAATAAAAGATTATTAAAAGAAATCACAGATCTTTACCTGCGTATTTTATGAAAAATATTTTCCAAATTTTACAAATCGATGCAGGAACCTCCTGTAAATTTAATCCTCGGTCATGCCTTTAGACAACGATTAACGAAATTAGGGATGGCTTTCCTGACCTGACCTGACCCGACCCTGTAATACAAAGTCAAGCACAGACAGTCAGACCTCATAATCCATTCACATAATGGGAACCATGCTCCATTCATGCTTCTCAGCATCCCGATCTACCCCTCGGCTTTGTCTCATTAATTTCCTGAAGATACGAGCTGGAGATTAATTTACGAGGTGATCCTGAGTGAAGACCATCATCGAGGGTCGAAGGAGTGTGACACTATAAATATGATAATCATATTACATATATTCGCAACAAGACACCAGTAACACAAAAAAAAAAATTATTGACACAAATTCCAAAAGAGAAAAAATTTCGGCTCGACAAGCACAGAATTCTAAATTTCTATTTTCAGCCATTTTTTTTTCTAAAAAAATCAAACAAATCTGTCAAAAGTACATCGGTCAAAGTTTCTCAAAAGATAAAAAAAAAAGCATCGTTCAGATGTTACCCTTGTTTAGCATCTCTTTGGAATACGTCCATAGTGTCGCGTTTCCAAAGCGGCGACGAGCTTAAACGATTAGTTACGCCGCTCGCGCGACTCTGTCTTTATTCGTAGGTATAACGAGCGACGCCGAGCTCCGACATTCGTATGCAAATCCGCCTTTAACTTACCAAACCAAGTGGATTTCAAAACGTGAAATCGTGTTGTGATTCCTGAACGAAATACTAGAAAACACGTGTCATATAATTTGCTTTTGCAAGGCCAGGTTGGTCTGAGATATACGAATATATGTACGTTAAGTAATCGTATAATAACTATCTGTATTATCTACATTGTCTTACCGACGTTATCTAAATCGTTAACCACAGTAACGGACAGCTTGACTCATTCACCATTATTTCACCAACACGCAATATTTTATTAGACACTGCAACCCACCGACAACACTTTGACTATAGAGAGCATTGGTATGTACAGTAATGGTAGAGTGGGATCAGCTGTTCCGAGAATTGAAAACCTGCCCAAGTTAAATTCTCTCAGCACGCCTAACGATACTTATGGTAGAACTTTACGAAGTTGGACCACTGGGAACCTGCGTATGAAATTTATAATATTAAACGGTATTCAGAATTTGCACTGACATATATATATATATATATTCGTAGGTTATTACATTAATGATCTCACCTTACTATTAAAAACACTGGATACAGATGGACAAAAAAAATATTAAGCTCCATCCACATGTATTCCTTTGATTATTCGACTCCACTCGGTCTCTCTGTCTTACTTTATCCAGTTGCTCTTCTTCCAGTTCTTCGCGAAGACTCGGCCGAGTCGTGTGCGCTGGCTGTAAGAGAGGCAAATTAATATATCCGCTTTTTAATCCCAATGTAGAAGGTTAATTCAAGTCGAGGGAGACGAGAAAACGAGATAACGTGGGGGCCACGCGACAGGAAGTCTCTTGTGGTTTGAGATAAAAAAGAAAGAAAAAAAAAGAGACAGACGATTAAGAGAGAGAGTAGCAAAGAAGAAGAGGCGAGACAAAGGAACGAATAAGAAAGAAAAAAAAGGGCATTAAAGACAATCTTCCGCACAGTGACACTTTTAAAAGCTAAAACAACCAGTCGACGCGATAATCGCGCTCTTAACGAGCGAGTCGCAGCGATTAATCAATTAGGCCCAAGAAATGTCGCGACCCTCCCGAATTCCGTGCGTGCTACCGAGAATTAACGTGAATTGACTCACGCCAGTGTTGATTCCAACTGCATTAACGGCACTTGCATAGCTAACGTACACGTACGAACAATACGTGCGTAAAAATAATACCTCGTATGCATCCGATCTTGAGGATAAAAATCCTCCGTTTCTTTTTCGTCAACGAGATAGCGTCCTTTGAAATACGTTGACAGCACGTCGGTACCGCGCATGCGCGAGGAGTCACGTGACCGGCCGCAAGCGTAGCTCGTAATACACAAAACAGCCGCATGGGGGCAATCGCACCCAAGCGAGTATAATATTATAATCTAGGCAGGGGTTTATTTTATGGCGTGTAATCCTCGTGCCGAGGTGCGAACGGCTTGTAACTCTTTTGTTGGCACCGTGGGGTGCCTGTGCCTCTAAAGCGACCGCTAACTAATTCCTCCCGTGAACTCCAGAGGTACGCCATTTTCGAGCCCCTATATACGTATATACAGGTATACGTATGACAACTAGCATATAAGGTATTATAAGATCCCCCTCTTGCGTAACTAATACCTTTTACCAGTGTAGACCGAGTATTAATACGTGACTAGATAATCAACTTAATAGCAAGGAATACCTGATTATAACCAAGTCATTCGTATTTTCTTTCTAAATTAAGGAAAACCTGCCGCACACCGGATTCAGCCGGTCAACCGAAGGAGCGTGGGTCACGTATGTAATTTTGCTATGTCTGTATTTTAATATATTAACGAGCCACTTAGGGATCTCTCATATGCGCACGCGTGTATGCTATGAGGTAGAAACACGTCATACGCTGCATTCGATGCTTTAAGTTACTTGTAGAATATATCTCTATGTGTACGTTCCGAGTTTCCTGCTTCTTTACGCAGACGTCGTGGGCGCCCCTAGTGGCAACTGCGTGCAAACAAACCTACAGGCTGGTCTACGTAAGTTAAATATATTTCGGCTGATCGTACGTCTGGAACAACATGGCAGTGAAATTGATATGATAAAAAGATGTATATTTTAACAGAGAGATGGATAAGAAGAATTATCTTGAGACCGGCTAATTCGTTTCAATCGATCGAGAATCAAGAGGAAATTGAACAATGGATATAAAGTCATTGTCGCTACAGGATGTGTGTAGCTAATGGGTATACAGTCATTCTTTTGGAAATGGTGGATGAAGTTGTTTATCCGGGTTCATTCTGTCGGCAGGGTTGTCACGTAGAAGAGACAGTATAACCCAAGCGTGTACGAACGGTGTAGCACACGTCTCGTAAACGCGTATACAGAAGTATAATGGCCGTGTAGTAACGGGCCGATTCGAAACGTAAAGTCACCCTTCGCATCAAGCGGGTACCATGACTAATCGATGAGCACGCAGCCAGTTGGTCTTGGCTCTCGGCGTATAAGGCCCTAAGAATCCTGAATTCACGGGCCAAACAGAGTTCACAGGTCACGCGAGTGAAGGGTGAGCTTCACTTTGCCGAAATAAGTGTCACTATCCAGGGGTTAGAAACGCGGCTTGTGTTTAGTATAGTCGCTCGACTGTAAGAGGCTGTACGGTTTCCCATGACGGTATCAATTCGGCTCATTGTTAATGGGGTCTCGATTCTCTTACGGCCACCCGCTATATCTCGTGGCCGGATTGTCAAATCTAGTGGAATATTCATACTTGTATATATAGGTATACCAATTGACATTAAAGATCCGTCACTCTAAGGATTGACGAACGGGCCCATTTTTCCTTGGGCCTCAGTGGGTTTCAGTCGATGGTCTTGCTCGAGAAATTGGGCCGTATCGCTGGTATCGTGGGTCCGTTGCTAGATCTTTTTGCACTACTGCCTCCGTCTTCCAATTGATTCAGTCAATTCGGTAGAAAAATGGTGGCATCCGGCGCGCGCCGTGGGGTCAAACGAACGACCTCGTATCCTGGGTCTTGGTTGGCCCTTTCCTTCATTGCCGGCCGACCGGCCGTTCTCTACGCTGACCACGGGTCAACTCTTCTCTTGAACTTCTTGACTCGCGGCCGCGACAGCTGCCCTCTTCGCTACCTCGAAATTACGCGCTCACTACTTCCATTTACTCCTCGCCCGTTCATTCATTCATTTCATTCGTTTCATTCATTCGCTCGTTACGTTTCTTCGCTCATTCACTTCTTTCGCTACTAGACGCACCCGGCGTGCCGTCAACCTTGTCAAGGCTAAATTACGCGCCCGCGTTTTTTTGAACGCACCACGGAAGCGGAATTGCTTCTGTCGCCCGAGTTCTTTGATCTTTGCCGAATGGCATTTTTTTCCCCACGAAATAAAAAATTATGTTACAATACATGACTAAATTTCATGTATAATAAATACACATATATATATATATATATAATTTAGTTAACTTAAAACTTAAAATTTTGTATCCCTTTAACCACTTCTGCATTTTTTTTAGATAAAAATTATATTTCAATCAAATTATTCAAATTTAACGTCACTTCGTCTTTTGTACGTATAAAATCTTCGTATATCACAAACGAGTTCGCATAGGTGAACGGGAACTTTATGAGCTTCCGTACAAGTACTCACTTTCAAAACCGAATGTATATCCAATATCTAAATCCGCTGCCCATTTGAGCAGCACTCGCAGCCCTCACTTTTAAAGACAAACAACGCGTCGCGTATTGGACAAAGCATCGGGGTACTCGGTACCGAAGCTTTGTAAAGCTTTCAAGTTCTTGCCGCGCGCATACGTAGGTACGATTCATTGAAGTGCCAGTTCGCCAAGTGGCAGCTGCGAAACAATGCTCGGTCATTATCAGGAAATTTCTGATTGTACATACAGAACCCCGGTATACGTGTAATCGTTCGTAGAAGCTCGGATAATTCGATCATTCATTTATTTCGATATTGACGTATTCATTCGAAAAAGGCTCCTCCGCTTTGGACTAAATAATTTTTACAAAAATCACACACTCTTCTTATCTCTTATCTACCCGTGGCAAGAAATGGGAGAGTGAGAGGGAAAATATAAAAAATGGCGTCGACCAATAGTAACCACGGTGGGTGGCACGCGCCCGATGCTGTAACTTTAATATGGACGGTTAACAGGCTTGGTGTAACACGAGACACACCGGAAGGGACGTCAGCCGAGTGTCACTCAGTCATTCAGTCACTCAGAGTCGGTCGTGGTTGCGTGTACGACTTCGTATGTGGACGTGCGTGCCGCACGCGTACGTCCCTTTCGGGGGATGTGCTTTAAAGATAGGAAGCCTTATCCGTACCTTAATTCGCGCAGCATCCCATCTTCACCGCGACTCTTGTTGAGACTCTGGACCTCGGAGCTGAAATGAAATTTGAATGGGTCATCGGATTTTTTTTTTCAAAAATCCAAAATTTTTTTACCGAGAAAAATCATTTGATAAACGTATCGGTGGTAGCGGTTTTTTTTTCAAAATTTTTTTCAAGCTCCGTTCACCCGGTTGAGAATCCACTTGAAATTTCAATATGGACCAGATCCACTCCTCCGATGGGAGGCGACTCTGGACCGGTATGTAAATCATCCTAAAGAGGCGTTCATATGTGTACCAAGGAACGAGTCAAAGTGGGGACGCGAAGACACGAGTCTTATCTGCACGTTAATTCAGCGGCTCTCTCATTCTCATCTGCGATCATCTGGACAAATGGAAACAATTCGGTCGGTTAAGTAGGAAGTGTACCCCGACGCAACCCCGTAACGAAATTAAAAAAAAAAAAAAAAAGGAACACAAGTATCAAGAGTACAAACAATGCTTAACAAGACTAAATAATAGATCGAAAATATAAAAAATTATTTTTCTTTACCTTATACAAATTTTCTATCACTATACAAATACATTCCCAGGGATGCCAACCGCGCGTGAAATTCCCATTCGCGAAACCTCATGACGCCCATTGCGTTGGGTAAATACTAATGTCGAGATCTATTTTAGCAACAACCAATTAGCCAAGCCAGTTCAGCTAGTCAACATATACGGTTTCTTAAACAACATACAAAATAACACCGGTTCGGAATCACTTTGAACCCAAAACTACATACATACAGGTACATTGATCAAAGGAAAGTTTAATAATCCATACCAATACATATACATATATACATCACAGGCAGAAACGCAAAACTTTTTACCCACAATTCCGCGAAAGGACTAAGAGTCACGCTCAGGATACAAGATACGTCAAACGGAAATGAATCGAGCGAATAACAAGAGCAAAGGATGAATCGTACGTGAAACACGTTGATTAGCTCAATTGAGAAATATTTCTCAGAAATGCCTATCCCGTGCTACTATTAAAAACCAAAGTCTATATTACATCCGAATATAGAGCCATGAAAAAAAAAAAAAAAAAAAGAACCGGAAATGATCTCTATAAAAAAAAAAGAAGACCCATCATACAGTACATTAAACATTTCTCGAAGGATTCCAGCATAGAGGATGAATTCTCAAGAAACAATTACGTACAGTCTAACGAAGCTAATTGAACCCATTGAGGATCATGGCGAGGAAGTTAACGGCACTGTAACGTCCAGAGTCCCTGGTGTAAGAGCATGAAATCTAAACGGCGTCGGCGTCGCCGTCGGTACACGTAACGAGTCTCTTGAGCGTCTGCGCTAATAAAGTATAATACAAAATACAAACAGACTATAGTATATTATATATATATATATATATATAGACTGTACAACATATATTTATCACATGATCATATATATATGTCTAATTCAATGTATATATACATATATACACTGCAAGTTTAGAACACTGAAATTCCTCGTAGCTACGTCGTCGCGACGCACTGCTGATACATTTCCGGCCACCACCATTCGCTCCTCCATTCATCTCGACACTCGCCGGACTCGCTCATTCATTCGTTCATTTCTTCGTTCGTTCATTCATTCGTTTAACACTTTTGTGTGACGCGGAGATACGGGTCTTCTGTCGCATGCACCAGAGGGGACTGGCTTCTGCCCAGCACTCCCTGGGAACCTCTTAACTGTTTTGTATAACGTGATTAAGAGCTGGATGCTGAGATGGACCATTTATTAATATCGTACTATATCGCACGTCTATAGTGTATAAAATTGATTTTTGTCGGTATACAAAATTTTGTCTTTATATGTGTAAAAAAAATTTTTTCAAAATTTTTGAGATTACGTACACCAATACTCCATGCAAAGGCTGTCTAAGGTTACCGTACCTTGACCAAGAACGTTGTACTACGTACGACAGATCTTAGATAGTTCAGCGGCGTTAAAGCTAATGTAACGATAGCGTAGGTGTTACATGAGCTAAGACCCGCAAAGCAGTTCAGACTGGAGATGCAAGTAATGGCTGTGTAACTATATTTGTATAGTGTAAGCAGGACTTTGGCTTTTGTGAAATTAAATTAATTTAATTAACAATCGATAAGGGTTGGCACGAATGACTTAAGGGACACGTATGACGTAGTTGGTCATAGGGATGACGATTTGCTAAGTTTTCTATGGGAATCAAGGGTGGTGACCGAGGGTGGGTTTACCCTGTAGGAAATCCATATTGATAAATATTGAAAGGATCAGGGGAGGCAGAAAGCATGGCGAGGGATCGTGCGTGGTCTATTAACCACAGACCAACCACTATTACGTATGGCTGTAGGTACGAAGTGCCCTATAGGAGTTTGTAGCCCTGAAATCTGCCCTACCACGGTTGGCAGAGAGTGGGGAGGGGGGGGGACGAAGGGGAGGGAAAGAGCGAGTTATGGCTCAACGAGAGAGACAGAGAGAGCAGATTCGGTTTGAATCAAAAACCAGTCACCGGGGTGTCTACCCCCTCAATGCTCATGGGGCACCCTAACCTAAAATAATGTAACACACCGTCGACAAATCCATTCACGTGCTACCCCCTATATGTTTCTGTGTACCAGTGTAGCACAACTGTAGGTACCGGTACAGGGTGGGCTTCTGCTAGTGGTTGCTGGCTGGCAAACCTCTATAGTCAAGGGTTCAAGATGGCGACGAAAATAACCGTAGACACGTAGGGATGCCTGGGGCTAATTTTTTTTGGATTTTCGAAAATAAAATTATTTTTATCTGATCACTAATTTTTTTCATTTTTTTTTAAATTCACGAATTTTTTTTTTTTTCGTTTTCTTTTGCAACACTACTTTTCATTTTTCTTTTTTTTTTCGACACACGTCCTCGCGACGCACGCGTCGCGACGCATGCTTGTCTCACGCAGAAGCAAACGCACAAACTCAAGAGATACACCACATACCACAGACCCACTTGCCACTTGGCGCAATTGCCCACGCAAGTGTTTACTGTCCCCCTCGTTCTACGTGACGCTATGCAACCTTCGTTACAACGTATACATCGCGTTAACGTTACTACTCCCTAAGAACTCCAGACAATTCTGTAGTCTGGTTTATCGAGTACGATATGGAAAAGGAGGTAAGAACGTGAAAATTTTCAGTACGCGAAAGCAATTGTATAATAAAAAAAAAAAAGTCTACCTACGTCAATAATAATAAAGTAAAAATTTACCGTTTCCACAAAAACTGATTGACATGTAAAATTATATCCAAAGGAATCTCATTAAGTATTATAAGGTAGCCGCGAATAATAACAGTCAAATAAAAAATAAAAATCCAATGGGTAATTAAATTTATCCAATTAAATTGACGTTTCCCTGGACCAGGCCGAATAAATGTGGCTGTAAGATTTCTCCTGCATCTCAACTATATCATCTTTATCACTGATCGTCACTTTGAGACGTACTCGTAATCGTCATTACTGGACCGAAAAAATTATTCCGTGCTACAACGATCCTCGCATACCTACTATGCTTAATGTATCTTGTATGGGCTTACGTGTATGATGTCAACGGTTATAATTAAGAGAATGAAAATAACGGTGAGAATGAGGTAAGATGGTACAGACGGATCAAATACGAGATGGCATAAGGATGCTGAGCACGTATGACAGTGGGCAGCCTGCGCGGGTCACAATCCCATCTGGTGAACTGTGGCTGCCAGAGTCTCCGGTCTCGAGTCTCGGGCCCTTCAAACGTTTAAACTCCTCGACGTACGCGAGTGTCCCCCATTATCTTATTTATACCTCATTGTCTCAATGTATCATACCAATATCGCGCCTGCATGTTGCCCATCGCTGTTAATACGCCAGGGCTCGTTTAAAGGTACCTAGATGAACTGTGTGTGGACGTATATATATATATATATATATATATATATATATAT